AAATCTAAGAGGTAATTCTCAAAGCAACCCTTATTTTAAAATATTTTTTGCTATGATCATAACTGCCTCAGAATAATTTTTAAATCCTAAAATCTAAGAGGTTATGCTGAAAGCCACCCCCATTTTAAAAGATTTATTGCTTTGATCATAACTGCCTCAGAATAATTTTTAAAGCCTGCAAGTCAGATTTCCTGAAAATATTGAGATGAAAATGTTCTTTGAAATTAAAGTTTCATCTGGATTTCCCCCAAAAATTTTCAAAATTGTTGGTTCATGTCAATTTCTCAGAAAGTGTGCATTGCAGGGTCAAAAATGGCTTCCATATGAGGCCAACCCCTTGGATTTTTTTCAACATTCATAGTTTCTAAGAGGGCTGTGCTCAAAGCAGACACATTTTCAAAAAAATTCTGCTTTGAGCATAACCCCCCTAGATGCAATGTTGAAAAATGTGTGCACTGATGATTTCAACCTGTGGATTTGTGTTTCAAACTTCAAAATTAAACTTTGAATTGCAAGGGTTATGGTCCAAGCCAAATCCATTTGCAGATAATTTTTGCTGTGAGCATAACTTCCTTGAATGAAATGTAAACAAAATTGTGGATTGATAATTTAAACCTGTAAATTTGTGTTTAAAGGTTTAAAATACAAATTCAGGATTTACACCTGTGAATTTGTGTTTGAAGGTTTAAAAAATAAATTCATGATTTAAACCTGTGAATTTGTGTTTAAAGGTTTAAAAAATAAATTCATGATTTAAACTTGTGAATTTGTGTTTAAAGGTTGTTATCCTAAATTGGCGAAAGAATAAAACTTCAGACACTCTCGTGCAGAAAGAAATGTCTCTCTTTCTTACGCGATTAATCTAAAACTTAATTCCTTCCAAGATAACGTTCTGTCGAGAAGAATTCTAATTCTTTATGGCCAGGGTAAAAGTGAATCTAGACTTCTCGGTAAAGTGAATANTCTCTCTTTCTTACGCGATTAATCTAAAACTTAATTCCTTCCAAGATAACGTTCTGTCGAGAAGAATTCTAATTCTTTATGGCCAGGGTAAAAGTGAATCTAGACTTCTCGGTAAAGTGAATACGTATATAGTTTCGTGAGCTTCACCAACAAGAGTTGAACCAGCAATGAATGCTGACATACACACTTTGCGGTACCTTTATAGATTCGGAACAAACCAGACGCGCCTGCGCAACTAGAACAGGGAAAACAGAAAGGGGACCATGCAAATGACCGCAAACCAGACAGTGTATCTAGGACACGCAATGTCATCATCTGCTTCGGGGCAGCGAGTTGCTATGCGGGAATTGCAACAGTAGAGAGCAGTATTATAAACATGACGTGGGACACTGTAACTATTTCTTTCGGTGACAATAGTGTATTTCTCAAAAGAAGAAGGCTGAAGGTCAAGATTTCGTATTACACAATTTAGAATTTTGGCCCATAATTTTGGGTGCAGTCGTCAAACTGACCAATTGATGAGTTTTTCAAAACTATGCTCGCTTTTCAATCAAGGTTTCACAGCTTCTTAAAAAAAACTTGTGTTGCAGTTCAATTGAACACCAACCAGAGAAACATGTGGGGTTGCGTTATAATTGACTGACTCCTCTCATGTGGGTTATAAATGCATCGCTGCATGTTTCCTAAAAATAAATTAAGAACGGGGTACTTCGGTCGCCCCTAACACAAATGAGCTCAGCTAATTTTTCCGCATGTAGGAAAGACTTTATATAGTCGCCTAATGATGTCTCAGCATACGATAATAGTCCATAGGATATTTTCCGAATTCCGAAAAACTTTACTTGGCATAAGCCTTCTCGACTATCGGGAGCCAGAATTCGTCGGGCTGCACACATCTGGCGAACAGCAGTCGTTTCTCGTCCCCCATCTCGAGATACGGCAGTCGATCGTCGATAGTGACAGTTCTCCATTTGCCGTACCACCAGAAGGTGATCGTCAGCATGCCATCGTATTCGTCGGATGCCAAATCGACATTGTTTCTTATAACCTGAAGAAAAATACTTCATTAACTTGATCAGAATCGACAGCACTTTTCCTCTTTAAAAAAGTTTGTCGATCAGTAAGTGCAACCTGTGCGATCGAGGTATTCTTCATGCATTTCTCGGCCACGCACCAACTTCGAAAATGTGCCCCATCTATATGATTATGCCCCAAATTTGCGAGGAATTTTGATATCTAAAAAATGCTGGTTTTAATGCTTAAAATAGGGGTAACGTTAGATATTGATCTGTTGCCAACCTGCTGGCTTGCAAAATCTGTGAGTATGAAAACTTGGTGAATTATTGCACAGACTTAATACAGTCCCTGCACGTATCCAGGCATATGTTGCCTTTTTATGATATAATTGCAAATTTTTCGCAGCCTCCACATTTTTTTTTACATCGCCGGATGCTGCTTGAGTATTCTGGCACAATTGGCTTATTTGTTGTCCAGGAGATATGGTAAACTTTACCAATAGTGTTGGATTTATGATTTGGTAAATGACACCATCATTTACATACCATTCCCATCAATTTCTTGTCAAATGCGATCGATGCGCATCCAGCGAGAAACCAACAATCTCCGAGAGATCCTTGCTTTACATCGCCGCCGGAAATTCCGTCGACGAGCAAATGCGGGTTTTCTGAGATTTCCTGCAAAAAAAATTTATCATCATCGTAACAAAAAATTTAATTTTGGATTTAAAATCATTTTCGTCGAAAAAGATTTTTTTCTGACGAGTAATCCCATCGTGCTTACTTTGGGACGCTTCCAAGAGATGTTCAGCTTTCCTATTTCTTCTCTTTTTTCTGATGACGTGTATAACGAAGCCGATGTTGCTGGGAAATCCTTGTCTTCGTAGAGAGTCTGTGAAAAATTGGTAAAATTGAGACGCATTTTTTATTATTTCTTATTCTGAAAGGAACAAAACTGTTCAGCAACGAATCACGAATTGCCTGTACCCTTGGATCATACAAGTCAACGGGGAGCTGTGGTATTTCCGGTTCCGGTACTGGTGCACCAGAACAAGCACAAGGAGGAGGGCATGAACAGGCGCAGCCCATTTCCCATAGGAAAGGATCACAATTACCCCGAATTACTGCAATCTGCAGAGCACGTCAAATCATTGTCTTCACTTCATTCAAGAAAATAATAAAGCTGTAAAAAATACAGATACCGAGGTTCAAAAATGATTTCTCATTAATGCTCGGTGGTTCTTCCGAATTGAAAGGGAGGGTTGATCATGGCATATGAAAGGAAGAAATGGACAGAGTGCGAGTATATAAAATGTTATACGCATGCTTTGCGTTTGGGTCAACAGCCTTAAGCTGATTCGTATGTTGACCAGTTGGCAAGGAAACCGGATAAGGCGCAACATTTTTCGCGCGAGGTCAACGAAATACTGTTCCACGAGAAAATCAACGAAGTATGGTTTATTCGTTGTTGCTTGAGAAAGCCTTTTACAATAACGTACGTGGAATAGTATTTCTATGCTTCGCCGGGGTTTTCACGCTATTTGAGGAGTGCAACAAACCTGTATATACAGTGCATAATAGTGTCGCCAACTGCTGCAATTGAATAAGTTTCATCCTTTATATCGACCTGCTGCATGTGCATTATTATACTGTATATTGTATATGCTCCATGGTTAAGGTTACGCTTTTTAAATAGAAGGGAAAGTTACTTCGAGCAATAATGTATGAGTAAATTAAAAATGTAATTCGTTGACAGCAAGAGTCAAAATTCACGGACACATCCGTTGGGATTCACGAAGATTTCTGCCATGATGAAATTTCTTTGAAATGATCCTGTTCGCAAAAGAAAAAGTATACAGAAATTTATGTATCGCACTAGCATGTATATTATTTTTACGTTGTAAAACATAGTAGCTTTTATATAGCATCAGAAAAATGACTCACACTCTCATTTCAAAAAGGCTTTCCTGGGAAGTTCGCGTGTTATTATTTGAAAATGGTACAGCCCCGGGCTTCTCTCTAGGAGAAAGAGTATAGTACAATATTTTTTCAGAGCCCATGCACTCCCCCTATTTGAGTGACCGACCTAACTTGACTATTTTTGACCCCTCAGCTCGTGCAGCGAAAAGGGAATAAATAGAAGGCTCAGGAAATTTATCGACTGGTAAAAAAAGGAAGTATTTTTGTTCCAAAGTTAACTCAACTTATCCAGCGTTTCAACAATTGAAAATCAGGACAAATCAGGTTAAATCTGAAGCTATCATCCACTTTTGTAGTGTGAAAAAAGGAGCCAAAAGTTGTAGGGTGCTTATATATATTACATCTTTGAATTATCTTTCAGATTATTTTCAGTACAGTATGTTCCTCTTTGAATTCAAGATTCATTTCTTTACCCTGATTATGACCTTCGCCAAAACGTATGCCAACGCAGTACCTTTCAGGGTTGACCAGGTTCCACTTTCCATCAGACACCCAAAGATCGAGAGCTTCAACTGATGCCTAGCTCGCAAATAATTTTATCATGTGCCAGTGAAACGTGGGAGCAGAACAACTGAACAAGATAAACTAAACGCATTCAAATTAATACCACACCTCAGTTTTCTTCGCTCCTGGATATAATCGCCATTGCATACAGGGAACTTGGAAAAACTGTTGAGCTCAAGCAAATGCATGGACTTTTCTTCATCAATTTCTGTGTGAGTGATTTAACGAACAAATATTCTCAAGATTTATAAAATTTTAACAAAATCGTCCAGTTCGCAAAAAAAAAATATGAAGAGATCCTCCTCCAGAAATTCTGGAAACCGTCCCGACGTCGTTCGCCCGAAATTGCGCCAATGTCTCCAACAGCTAGCTCGCTGTTGAGTAGACCTACGAGCGATTTACATCTCGTTAAGAGACAAAAAATAAAGAGGACAAATCTGGTACAAGAGCAAAATAATTTTCTTTTCCAGTTTCTCACATTCTCCCCTTTTCCACGGTGAAATAAAAACAGCACATATCGCCTCCCTCCCCTCCGGCGGTGGAACCGCGTCTTGGTGCCGGGTTCGATCGACAAGCCAAATTAAATGCTTTGTTAAAAACCTGCATCTTGCGCGGCCATTACTAAAACGGTTAGCCGCTTCCTCCACATCCATGGTAAAACTCACCACCACGAACATAGCGAAAAGTACGGAACCAAAATAACCGCTACAATCGACGCTCAAGGCGGACATCAAAGCTTCAGTCGACTATCCGAAAACAAAAAAACGTAGCCATAGGCGAAAAATGCAGTGAAGCTGATGAAATGGTCGACGGCGGCCAGTGCCCACCATCACGGGTATGCAACGCGTTCAACAGAAACAAATCTCTTCAAACGGAGAGAAGCAAAAATAACGTCGCAAACGATACAACACTGACTCCCGCGAACATAACCGAGCATGCACACATATTCATAACAGATTAAACGCCTTGGTACGCATGACGCGAAAAAAAAAATAAAACATACGTGGTGTGAGTCTAGTTATAACGAAGGACTCGCATTACAAACCGAACGAGATACCCAACAACCAAATACAACGCCACGCGTCACCCACACGAAGTTCCTTCACATCTCCACAAACTCGTTACACTGGTTTTCTTGAATGCTTTGGATAAAAACTGGAAGAGTAAATATTCGATTACTGTACTGTATTCGATGAAATCAGTCTGCCTTCATAACAATCAAGTAAAATCAGCGGACGTGGAAACAAATAAAAGCAGGCAAAAATCGGTTTCTGTTTGCATGAAGTGACCAGTGCGCAGAAATTCGTAGGAAACGCTTCGGAAAAATGTCGGCGAACTTCGCCGTTCGTAGACAGGGACAACGCGGCCATCAACCGACCGAAAACCGATAAATAATCCACGTAAGGATCATTGTACAACGATATACACACCTCGACAAACCGAAGAAAAACAGAAGGCAAACAAAAGAGAAACACATACGCGGGAGGACATAACCACGAAATTTCTCCAGCCTCGGCAGTTTGGAAGGTGTTGCGGCTAAAAATTAAACAATTCTGTCTCCTATAGGACGTAAATGAAATTGGATTTTGCTTCATCGACTACACGAATATTTTTATGATAATGAGCCAAGGGCAATAATAAAGTAAATAAAATCCGAACCACATGACCGAAGCATTTAAATCCATTAAATCTGGATCACTGCATAATTTTCGTTCAATTTTTAACAACGCATTCGTAGAAGGATTTAACGAACTTTGACGGTGCGAGTCGCAGATCAATTTAAGTGGCCATAAAATTGTCGGGAGAATGCAACCCTGCCATCAAATGGAATAATAGATTGAAGAATGCCAATGATCTCGATTTTTATTCGCCTACGAGGGGGGGGGGGGGGGGGGGGGGTTTTTTTTTTCCCCCCCAGGGGGTGGGGGGGGGGGGGGGGGGGGGGGGGGGATATTCTTATCAATTTTTCTGGAACAGAGTTCGCAATTTATCGTTTCACAAGCTATTCGATCTATTTTTGCTGCGTTTCATTTAAAAAATACAACATACGATTTCATCAACATGAATCCTAAATCTGGATCTGAATTATCAATAACTATTATTTTTATTCAGGGAAGAGTTGAAGTTCCATAAGATGAATCGGCACCTTGTCATAACTTAGCTAATGACGTTACCAAAATCTTCACAGGAAGAAATCGAAATTAATTTGTTCTCCATGATTGTCCAGGACGTAAAACTCAAAGTGATCACTGAGCTTCCACTTCCAAAGGAAAATTACGATAAATCTCAAACCAGTAGGAACTCCATCAGTGATTTTCATTCCGACATGCTTGCAATCACATGTGTACCAGCATGCGAGCTCCACACTGAAACGGATAGTTTTTCGAAGAAGACTGAACGTATAAATTTCCTTCCTTTCCTGCGAAACACAAAAAAGTTCGATTCCAAGCATAACCGATCCTCAACAGAACGCTCCCTTTCAAAAAATAATTATCTTTGGTTCGGATCACGTCGATTTCTCGCTCCCGCTAAGATTCATTCGGTACTTCTTGAATTATGCAGCATTCACAGGACTGTTTTACCGCAAATGCAAATTGTGCAGTATCAGCTGAATTCAGAATATGACGGATGGAAAAAAACAACAAAAAAGAACAAAACCAAGACAAAATGCAACGTCGTATTTGCTCATTTCCTTCGGTAACGTTTCAGCCTTCCCGTTTTCGTACAAGCTTCATTTTGGCTTTCGTTCCTCGTCGGTTCCCAACGGATGTATTAACCTGATAAGGGCTTTTCCACCTAACTCCAAGATCATATGCGATCACATAGGTTGAAAATAAGTAAAACATCGAATCTCGGATGGGGAATTAGGGACATGAGTTGAAAGGTGTGTGGAAAAAAAAAAGATACAGCATCGAGCAAACGGGATCCCTTCACTCGAAACATCTCGATAACGATGGGAAATGCATACAGAAAACATCAATGCTTCTTCGCGACAGGACTCGTCGGGCAATCCGCACGGGAAGGCGATCAACACCTGTAACATCAAACACGATCATCATAGCCCTCCATATTTGTTACACCGCAGAAAAAAAAATTCCAACATCGATTACACCTTCCACCCAGAAGCATTCGTCCAACACCAAATCATACACACGTTTACATCAACCACCGTATACGCATGAGAAGAATCAATCCAACACCGCGGTGAAACCCGCGTCGATTTCGACAGAAATCCTCCCTTTCAACATGAACAAACACGCGCTGGAAAAGTACTTCGCCAACAGCCTCATATCTTTTTCGTTTTCACAAGTCCTTCTTCCTTAAAAAAACACAAAAACAAAACAATGAGTTGAAGATGGGGGGCAAAAACTAAAAGCGAAACGTAAAGCGTCATAACGTTCAGAGCACTTAACCTCAACTGTCCTAATCATTCTCTCGCAGTCGCTTTTTCCTATAAAAGTAGCGCAACAGCCAGGAATACAACAAGTTAGTAAACTTTTCTCTGAATATTCCGTCTCAAATCTTCTGCTCATGGGACTTCAAATCCACGGCTGAAGACAGAGAGTGACTTACTGGCACGGGAAGACCTTCAAGCAATCAGCGCCCCCACATCCCGTTTAACGGATCAACTGAATTATATTAGCGCGAAGAGCTGCATGTCTCTCTTCACTTTCTCAAAAATGTTCTTTCGTTTATCACAGCAAATTCAAGAAAAAGCGGCAAAACTCAGCTTACAACCTACACGATTCTACGGAACGCTGGAGAGAAAAAAATTGAGGAACTTCCCAGGACGAAGATCTTTTTCTGTAATCGGCTTACGATACTGATTGATGATCGGTCAAATTTTCTGAGACATGCACGAAGACGAGATAAACACGAAAATACGACAGGGGGGAAGAACGCAGACGATAAAACAGTGGGTTCGCGGAATAGAACGATTTCGAAACAACACAAGATAATGGAAGAAATTTTGAAGGAGGTTTTTTTTTTTTTTTTGTGCAACTCGTCGAGCAATGGGCGCATGCTGTTTTTCGACATTCTTTCCGATTCCTTCCACCAACACGAGCGCAATGTTTCCATAGACTTCCCCAACAACCAATAGAGCTTCACGAGGAAACCATGTCCATCTCTTCCACGTCCATTCGACCAACCCAAGTGTTCGCCGCAAAAAACCATTTCCTCCTCCACCCTGGAATTCACTCACTCACTCGATCGTGCGCAGGATGCAGCTCGCTTCTCGTCTTGTCCACGAATCTTTGACCTGAGCTTTTTTGATATGCGTGAATACAGTACACGGAGAAGAAACCGAAGGACGGGGAACTTGCAGGCGAAATATTGGGAAGGCGGGATCGATCTGAGAGGTGTAGTTGAGGGTACAGTCCAAGCGGGAAAAAATTGCGGAAGATGAGTCGTTTTCAGCGGCTGCCGAGACTTCCCTCCAACGATGCCGGATCAGTACGGCTTTAAAGCGTCTTTCGAGCGCTTCAGCTGCACCTTTAGTCGCTTGGTGCCGATCTGGAAACCGTTCATCGATTGGATCGCTTGTTGTGCACTCAAATGGTTGTCGTAAGAAACAAATCCTGAAAAAAATAAATAAATCAAGCATCACCGTAACGTGGAATTCAGCTAATTTGCGAATACAATTTTAAATATCATATCCTAAAAGCTTGAAGCAGTATCAAGTCATACATAGGAAAATCGTCCCATGACTTTTCGATCATGAGCATTAACGGGTTTCTTCGGGAAACGCTTCGGTGGTTCCTTTATCCTTGGAGCTAACATGATTCTCTGGAAAATATTTTTCAACGCGATAGACATGAAACAAGGGTAGCCGAACAAACCTACCCTATCCAAACTCATAAACTAACCACAACAAACACGCACACCATACTGACCGAACTGAAAAAATCTCAAATTAAGTAACCGAACTCCACATTTGAAATACATCAAAACCTGAAGTCGACACCCAGCTAACTGAACTCAAAACCCTAATTACCGAACTAAACTAGAAAATCTAGACGTACAATGTGGCCAAATTGAATAAATGAACAATGACTGAATACGAAAGTAAAGTCGAACGTCTAAGTCGAATTTGAAGGGACGAAAAAAAAGAACAACCTAGATTTAGAGTGGTTTGGGATTGGGGAAGTTAGGGGAAAAAAGGGCTCGGGACTATAAAAAAGTTTTGAGTTGGCGAGGTTTTCGACTCAGGGAGGTTCAACTGTGACTAAATATCTGAAGTAAACTTTCAAGTAACCTGTCTTTCAATATTTGACTGACTGACAGACTATAATTCCTCGATTAACCTCACCCGACACACTGAAAAGACGTCATACAATATAGATTACACAGTACCCTGAATAAGTGACCCAACCAGTAATTTCATTCATCTGCATTAAGCCTCATCTGAGTTAACTCTGAATGCAGAGACTTTTCTTGAAACCAAAAATCCTTCTCAATTTAGTTGAACTTGAAAATAGCCACGGAGAGCTTTTCAGGAACGGAGTATTGAAGAAAAAAAGGAAAAATTACCGAAGCATTTCGACAAGTTGGTGTGCTTGTCGATGAAAACTTTGGCAGATATGACGTTGCCGAACGCAGCAAACGCTTGCACCAAGTCACTATCACTAAAGTCTTGCGGAAGATGATAGATGAACAGGTTGGCTCCATCCGGACCTTCAACCTGCTTGCCCATCTGCGCCGTCGTCACAATCGGAGATTGGTGCGCCAAAGCCGACGTATTCGTCACGCCCACATTCGCTCCGCCAAACATACCCGGAAATGCTGCAAATCAAAAAATATTCATCAACTAGGAAGCTAAACACGAAATCGATCGAAATCATGCCGGCACTCATCAAATCCGAACATACCGAAAAAAAGTGAGGTGAAAAAGCTCAAGAACTAGAGCACGCAAACGCAAAAAAACAAAAACAGGATGCAACCCCCACAAAAAAAACGACCGGAACACACAACAGTTACAAAAGACGGTCACCGAAAACAAACTCCCGAGTCATTGCATTTATTCTAGGAAAATCCCATGCATTTCAAACAGCATGGTTTTAAAATATAACTATAGACGATACTAGACCGCATCGAAAACAACTACTTTTATATGAACAACAAATCCAACAGTGAAACGTGATCCATCTAATATTCTAAGCTTCGCAAAAATTCACCAGGTAGATGAAACGATCAAAAACTGTAAACAAATTTAAGGAAAACAGCAAGCCCAACTTCTCAAGCGACAAGAGAAACTCAGTACGAAGCCACACTAGGATGTTTCTCCTCAATTGGCCACTCAAAACGGGTGAACTCGTCTTCACAGTCCTACTCACCGGACTTCTTAGTCACTGGGGGGCTTGCCTTTCTTACGACCGCTTTTCGTTTTTCGGAAACAAAAGGAACACGGACGAAGGGAAGGACAAACAAACGTGAGTTTCATTCAATCGGTTACACAGGTACCGAATCTAAAGTGGTCAAGGGTTTACATTTCCCTTCCTTTGATATTCTAATTTCCCGCTCGGGATCTGTCAACAAATCGCAAAATAAACCCTCATGTTCTGATGATTCGTTCAACATTATACAGGCATTTTCTTGCTCAGTTCAAATGAATCCGTAAGCAAAGTTTATAAAAGAAAAGTATAATTATTTTCAGAAAACTCGATACAGTATTTCCTAAATAACTTCAAATTTAAAAAAATACTGTAGGAAGACTGGCGCTCCTTCTTTCATCTCCTAAAACGCTTTCAGATTTTATGGCGAGGCACGGAACAGTGGCATTAATATGACAAATTCGTTCATCTGAAATATAACCAACGTTTCAAAAATGCACTCAGCCATTTATTCTAAGTTATCGAATCAAAATTGCGGCGAGAAAGTACGTAACCTTTTCTTCGAAAGAAATTCTTCAACTATTCATGGTGCTCGGATAATTTGAACGATACGAATTTAATTATTTAAGGTTTCAGGTGATTTAATTCACGTTAATTTCGGGCACAAAAGATGGATAGCTGCACGCATTCAGAAGATACTGTATCAATTTTAAATCGGTCTAAATATTCTTCGATCATCCTGATATTTTATTCACATGATCATGAAGACGAATAGTTGCAATTTTACAAATGTTAATTCACCTGCGGGGTTTAGCAGCGCACCGACAGCTGCGGCGTTGTTTCCGCCGGCCATGGCTGCTAGCGTTGCCAAATTCTGGACGCTCATTGGATTCAAGCCTGGAACACACGAATCCAATCCAAAGTTTCACACAACAGACGAAACAGCCAAAATTCTCGAGCACACGATAACATCCGCACGAACGCGAGTAAGTAAAAATACCCAAGTACCAACCTGACACTTCTACAATGAAACAAGTGATGAAATCATACTACTGTACTAAAACTGCGGAGCAACCAGCAAACCTGGACGAGGCCCACAGAATAAGAAAAACCTGAAATGTTACGCCAGCAAATGGTTTCTCTCTACGAAAACAAAAAATGCAACAGAGTTCTCACGACCGCAGCTTTTCAAACAAAGCTAAGGTATTTTCTACAGCTCAATTGATTACCGACGTCTTGATACGACAAGTACAGCAAGCTTTTTACCTTGACTGGCAACTGACAAGTTTGCCAACGCAGCCAGACCTTGTAGGTTTGACGCTTCCGTTGTCGCTGTGGTGGCACTGTTCTGCAAGGCAGCTAACCCGGCGAGACCTAGGAAATGGTTCATACTCGAATTAAAAATCATCATTCAGCAGAAATTAAATTGAAAACGAGACGCCACCGCACAATTGACTCTGCCAGCGACAACAGTACACTCAAGTACTGTACTCTTGTACAGTATATAAAGGGAACTTCACATTACAGTAACGAGATTCTAATAAGGCTGTACAATACTTCCATATTTCTCGGCGCACCACGCGTCCTTGTGCAGAACGCACTGCAATTTTTCACTAAGCCAATCGCAAAAAATATTAATTACTTTCATTCTTGTTCGGCGTGAAAATACTTCATCTAATTAAAAGGAACGCATAATACACCAGGGAACGCGCAAAATTACAAGATCAAACTTTTAGGACCGCAACCCCTTCTGTTCTTTCGTTATGCTCAACCAAATCGTAATTGAAGTAAACAAAAAAAAAAATTCGCTGGTTAATGAAGGACATCTAAAAAACATATAACATTGAAGGAACGAAAGACAGGCGAGTGAAATGCCAATTTACGAACAGCTTTAAATATTGACCGACAGGAAGAACCACCGACGAAACTGTCTCGGACGCTTGGAATGAAAATAATGACCTGACATACGACACATACCCTCAACACACATCGACGGGTTCACAACAAATTCAAAGTTCCATTACAGTGCATTTGAATGAATTTGAAAGATCAGTACATTCACTTCGGTTAACCTCATCTTTTGTGGAATGGGAAGCACAGAAGAAAAATGATGATACTTCGCAAAATTTTGGACCAGCACCGCAATTCTCTTACTGCAGTATCGGTACACTTAATATAGTACAAATATAGGCCACATTTTGACCAATATCATGATGCAAATACAGTATTGTCACCAAGAATACATTCCAAATAAATAATATTATTGCGGTAATTTGAACGTCTTCAAAATTCTAGAACACGCAAGTATGACAGTTGCCTTGATTTCCTCACAGTTACAGCGTACAATTTCGATCTTCTACCATTTTCTTTATACTTCAACCAGTGAGATAAAAACGAAGACAAAAACTTGTAACAACCAGAATGAATCCCATTCATTCGTTCAGAACTCCTTACAAAGGAAGCACCATATTTACAAAAATGAATGAACCACCAACCCTCGCACGCCATATCTAAATTGATGACAAATGCTATTGAAATATCTACGAGTAATTTTTCGGCACTTCAAATATCTGAAACCCTACGAATCAGGGATGCTGATCATGCCTCGGATTTTTCTTGAAATCAGACTGGCGTCCATTCAACATTTCCTGATGACAGAAAATTTCAAGCATCATAAGCTCGTCTCCCTTTCGACGACATCGACACCAGCCTTTCTCCTGACTATTACCCCCTGAAGGAATCCTCGTCTTTCTCTCTCTCTCTTACCTAGTTGGTTGGAATTGGTACTGTGTATTCCGGCCAGAGAAGCGGCCAACTGTTGGAGTTGCAGGGAGTTGAGACCGCTCATGGTGAGGTTTGTGGCAGGACTGGAGGCCTGCGTGGCCTGGCCGGGGCCGGCCGACGTGGAACCCGTCGACTGGGTCGTCGCCATCGCTTGCAACACCTTCAGTACACAGATCACACTCACACTGCTCATGTTGTGTGTGTGGTCGTGGGCGAGTTATTAAAGCTAGGTCGCAGAGATGATGCTATGCTGTGCTGCACAGCTTTGTGTCGGTCGGGTTGTTGGTCAGCATTTTAAGCATGTTCATGTTATCGTTATTTTACAGAACAGCTCTGTGATGACCTTTCATTTTAAATCTTCGCGCACTATTCCGGTAATGTATCAGAACAGCCATTCTTCGCTCGTGCAGCTATCGTAAAAAAATAGAAGGTTATAGAATCTATCGCGAGGTTTAATTTAGCTTTTATATATGCGTAACCTTCGCAATAAATTCGATCAGTCCGTAATGTTTTCCAAAATTTACAAAGCGCCCAAACCTTGGCGAGAGAAATAATCCCGTACATGTTACTGCACAGCAGCCAGCCGATGGATCAACAAACAGTAACACACAGGTTGTGACAATTAACACTAGGCCTATACCCAGTACCAGAAAAAGAGAGGAAGAAAAGAGAGAGATAGGAAAAAAGCCAACAAAACGTTGGCACAACGAGAAAAGCGACGTATTACATATATTACGGCGAGACACGGAATTTATCTTCGGCAAATATCACAACGATAAAAAAATCAATAAATTCAAGATTACTCACAGATAAATATTGTGGAGCCAAAGCGGCCAGATTCAAATTGTTCACGGACCAAATATTCTGCGCCATCACTACGTCAGCGAAGACTAGGAAGAGGAAGACGCATAGTCGTTTAAAGTGCTGATAGCCGCTACTCGTCGGGAATTTTTTTATACTCACTTCTGCTATTGCTAATGAACTCCTTTGTTTTTTTATTTATGCAAAAGCAGACATCGGGTGGGAAAACATTGCGTGCACATTAGCAGCTGGAGATGGATGTGCTCTGAGCAAATGTTTGCTCGAATCAATGCCATGTGGTTCGCGCGGTCCTGAATTCCCAACGCTCTTCGACGTACAAACCCCGCTTATTAAAATTGATCAATTTCTTCCATTCATGATTTTAATAGAATAATCAATTTGAAAAGAGTAAAAGGGTACGCGCAAATTATCAAGTTCCGTGCACTGCGAATGAAAGTTCATTCAACAGCCCATCCACAGGGTGGGCAAACATTTTACCGACTTTTCGGATGTGGCACATTTTTAACGGCTTTGATTTTCCAAAGTCAAATCAGAGTTCGTCCGCGTATCTTAGGAATAATGCCCAATCGATATTTTAATTGCATCGTCATTACGAGCAGATTTAAAGCAAATACGAAAATCTCAAAGGAGAGAACATTTTCAGATGATCTTTAAAACAAGGGTTAAGCAAGGAGTGTCCTCGGTACACACGAGTTTTAAATGCATAGTGTTCGTCAGTTGAAAAACATAGCCAGTTTAAAATCCAAGCAGAAGTTTTAAAGAGATTGCGAAAGTGTTTTGCAGATTGTAACCGACTCCTCCTCCATTATAAATATGGCTTGATGGGAGACGCTATGAACATGCCCCTGTTCAAGGAATGAAAAATAACATCGACAAAAACGATATTTTGATCAGCAAAATTTTTTCCCGGCAGAAAATCGAATTTCGGTACAGAATAGTTTTCTGAACACGAAAATTTTTGATCTGACATGACCAGTGATGGAGACAAGAATGATGGAAACACTGATTATTCTTTCCAATGGCATTCAGACAGCAAATACCATTGTTCACTCACGTGACAAAATAACATCAAAATCGTCACGGGATGAACTTGAGACAAAACTATAAATTCAAAAATTGCCGAACTTCGAGAACAACTGTGAACGAAAATTTCTCGAGCGTTCTCGAAATTGATCAAAATCTTACAAGCAACGAACGTAAAACTATTCTATGCCGAAAGCCAGGTAATTGCTAATAATAATAAATGGGCGTCAGCAGATACAGAATAAGGTATATTATTCACGTTTAATCCAAGAATTTCGCTTCAAGCGCGTATTTAAAAGGACATTAGTACGTTAATGCTAGCATCCAGATTTGTCAACAATACGATTTCACTGGGTTCAATTGTCCTCGTAATTTAAACTCATTTTCGCTAATATTTTCTCAATACGCCGTTCAAACAGACAAATCTGAGGTAGTTCTTGTCTCACTTGCTTATCTGAAATTAAAACCAATCCTCTATTTGAGGACTCCAATAAATCCTCGCAGCAACGATTAAAAACTCTAATCACAAGGATTTCGAATGTCGAAAAAAATACTGTACTGTCATTTTTTTGGCTTCAGGAAAATCAACAACCCTCAAGATTTGAAGAAAGATCACGACGATATTAGTCCAGGTTCTTGTAGAACATTTTGTTTTTGGCTTGTTTATCCGGACGAAAAAACGGCGCCATTAAGATGGGTGATTAAATTTCCATTAAATTTAAAATTACAGTATAAATATTGAGACCCTGCTGGAGATAGAACTTGGCCTTTAAAAAGTTCACTTCCATGTTCTTCGGAAGATGGTTTCGAAAGTTTCGGACAAGACCAACAAACGAACCTACTCCAGGAGTCGGCCGACCTACCTACGACCTTTTGTGCGTAACAAAACATGACGTTTTTTTGCGGTATTAAATGTTTTTTACAGACTTTAATTAATCTTTTTATGTGTTTTCTATAGGGGGAGGGGCCCTTAAAACTTCTGAAGTTCGCGAGAGTCGGAACAATCAATCATTTAAAAAATAAGAATGTATTCAAATCATCGTAATACAGCATATAAAAGAATTCCTTGGCTCGCTGTAATAGTTTTATCCGAACATTTAATAGGATCACAGTTGAAAAAGTGCTGCAGCAGATAGATAACGAAATAGGCTACGAGTTCATATCCAGTAACGAGACTAATAAAAAAACCCCTCTTCCTGAATTGCATTTCAAAAGCGAATAACTCCGGACCGGAGACAAAGGCGACCCGAGAACGGGCGAAGTTCGTCGCTCCTCAGCCGCTGATGAAGTCATCCAGAATCCACCGGAATCCATCACTGAGTATTCCCCGACCCCACCAACTTTGGCACGAGTCGTATAGCCCGCTCTCCGAAAATCCCGGGACACGCATGGGAGGAATAAGGTGGCCCAAACCCGACCCAGGACCCCATTTCCTCCGCAACGACCTTATTCACGAACCCGGGGCGTTAATATGAAGGCGCGGCGGGTGGCCGGCTTTGTGTGTCGCGCTCATTAAATACACCCGCGGGGGCTCTCATTACGCCCCAGGGCTGAAGATCACAGGCTCATCAACCACCCTTCCCGGGGGCTAGAAAACTTGCGAGAGAAATTACGCCGGGTCGACGGTGGGAAAATTAACGCCGGCTCAGGATTCGGATCAATTTGCACAGAGCACATCGCTTACGTCAAACTCGCAGAAAGCCGTTCGTCACGATGGATAATAAAAATGTCTGTCTTTCATGAAACTCTCTTTCCGAAAGGCGTATCTTCCCCACAGTAATCGAACTGTTGTTTATAATAATTACATGGATTCCCGGGTAAATTGCTACTGTATTTAACTTTCCCGAAAACTGACAGGTGGTACTGCGAGTGTTTTTGATCAACGTAGATTACTGCAGTCACAAGGTAATCAAAGCGTGAGAGGTAATCGAGGATGAAAATTTTCTACTGCGGCTATTTTTGTTCGATTGCGAAAAGCTTCGTTCTACAGCAAAAAATTCTATGAAATTCATCATGATAGAACTTGAGTTAAAATTTGCTATTGAAACAGCGCTTGACTGGCTAAAAAGGCGAAAATTGTTGACCATAAAAAAAGATTCTACGAAATTAAATTTTCAACATACGGTAAGACAAACTACAGTAGTTCAATTCAAAGCTCATGGATTATTGTTCGTTTCGAAATTTCCCGCATGTGTTTTCACTTCCAAAAATCGAGCTTAGATTTGTGGAATCTGCTTATATTCCGAAATCAATACCATGCCTTCCGTTCTTCAGGGCGATCAGTTTAGATTTCGATTGATTCAATACATTTGACGAGAAAAAAAACCGATACTGTATAATTATACAGAAGCCCCGGCAACTGAGGTCACACCCGAATTTTTCTAAAAAAAAAAAAAGTGGGAAAAGCGGAGCAATCTACCTAAAATTCATGAGTTTCGAATGATGCAAACGATGTTCGCATCACCCTGAGACTTGGAAACGTCTAAAAATCAAGAATCGACTCACCTCCATCGTAGTGGAATGATGCATGCTTTTAATAGCGTTGATGGCGCTCTGCCGCGTCGTGAACGTCACAAAAGCACATCCTGTCGAAGAAGAAAAAAAAAAGCAGCATTGAAGTTTATAATCATCACAGATTATCAACAAAAATGTACAGTATTTCAAAGCATCGCAGCAATCGAACCACTGGTCTTGGAATTGAACATTATTTGGTCTTGTTCGTCCCTATATCGAGAAACCGGCCACACAATATTCCACGCACATGGATTATCAAAAGTAATGATTAACAGTAGCGCGAAGTAATAATTACACTCGGCCACACTATGGAGAAGAATTCCACCATTGAGGAAGAAGAGCACAAAGAGGCGGAAGCTTTGGCGCAATAATGATTTAAAATCGCCTATATCAGTGTTCCCCAACCTTTTTGGGCCCGCGTACCAGCAAATTTCCGTTAAAGTTTTTGCGGACCGGTAAATTTCCTAAAATTTCTGCGGACTGGCCAAGTTTCATAAAATGCTTGCTTGAAACTTGGAAGACTTTATCGCAGGCATTTAAAACGTTTATGCTTTTTTGCGAACATTATGAACCAATGAAAAACAAATACTGTATAGTGGAATGTCTCCAAAAAAATAGAAAGGTGGGCTTGAAAAAAGTAAATAACTCATTACAGCAAGTTAAATTTGTCCGAAGTGTCATTCGGAGGAAACTCAAGTTTTATTTTTGATCAGATAATTTCCACTGCCTTCGGTCTATCCGAAATTTCAGAAAAAATCATAACAGACTTCATTGCTACTTTCGTTAATACATCATCCAGCAGAAAATTTCCAGCAGACCAGCAAAAAACTTCTGCGGACCGGCGCCGATCCGCGGATCACGCGTTGGGGAACACTAGCCTATATAATTTTGACAATTATGTTCATAGTGTTAAGCCTCTTTCAGATAAATACTTTCAAGTTAGGAAACGAAACCCAATCGAAGGGTTGCCATGTGCAACGCAAAGAAAATGTTCCACAGAACATGTTTTTTTTTTTTTATTCTGCACGCGCCGTGTTTGAACGCTCCGAATTGTTCGGTCCACTTATTTTTATACCGTGGCGTACTGTATCGTATAATTATGTTCTTCTCGTCGGGATTGCAGCAGAAAAACTCCCCGAGTTTACTCTGCATTCCCGCCTGCCACGTGTAACAGGAAATTAAAACACTCGAAAGTCAACTCGTCCGCCCTCCCATTCCACCGCAAAGCAGTCAAATTTTTTGAGGCTTAGCGAAAAAGACAGCATCACTTCCTGTTCATCCCTCTTTCCTTGGAGCAGGAACGAGGAGGCGCCTGCTGCCATAAACAAACCCGGATCCAACAACGCAACACGTGCCGCGGCCAAGCGTCAGCACAGATGCGGGGAAACAAATGGGGCGCGGCCGACGGGAAAATCGCATTCCTTCCTTTTTTCCCCTCGTTTCCCGAGGCTTCTTATTTGTTATTTTCAACAGCTTTAAAATTTTCTTCAGCACCGCATTTTCTGAAGTTTTAA